ACATGGAACTCAACCTGTGGCTCCTCTTCGAACTCGATCTTCGTTCCGTCTGGCGTGCTTTAACGTACGAACACTCATGCGGACTGAAGTCATTCTAGCTCGCACCCTAGGGTCCCTTGCTGCTGACATCTGCTGTTCTGCATGAACCTGACTACATGACCCCAACACTGTGCTTACTCTGATATCCCCCATTAAGCACGAAGCCAGATAGCAACCAAGTCTTCCTGGAGATCCAAAAGTAGCCCTAGCAGCTTTGGCTGGTGTAGGTATAGCAGTAAGTGGCAAGGTCGGTGCGGCACTACTGGTTCTCGATTAACAGTCGACTGTGTACAGTTTGGTTTTGGAATCCATGTAGAATGATCATCGCGAAAAGAGACGTAACTGGTTAGTGCTTTCAGCGTACACTCTAAATGGCTGCAGGAGTGACTCGGTAAGGGACTGCTACTGCCGGTAGTTTCAACAGTACTTGCTTGACGTTAAAAATTTGATGTCTGTCCTTAGTGGAGATTTCAATGCACGGGTTGGGCGCCTGTTGCTATACAAATGCGCTCGATGAGGACCGCCCTGATAATAAAGACAGACTTCTCGCATTGTGCGAAGAAAACCATTTATTCAAATTTAGATTTGGTGTATTCGCTGTGTGGTTGGATTGCGACACGCAATATCTATTCAGACCTCGGTTCACTTTGAAGTAGGTCACGGTTATTACAATCACAAGGACCGTATCCGGATTGGCGGTACTTCGGTGTTGCTGTTTCCAACCCCTGACAACCATCTATTTCTCTCTAGCACCAACTTCAAATATAAGAAGAAGCCTTCCGCAACTTGCCGTCCCCTTCCACCAACTCAATCCTGGTCTCTAATTGATGACATTGCAGTCAACTTCAAATGACGGGGCGGCATATGAGGCTACATGCTTCTTGGTGAGCGTTAATTGATTTGGATCATGCGCTTATCTGCACGAAAATCTACATATGTTTTGGTAGTTCCACAAAATGAAGCAACACGAGATTGATGCAATCAGATTACATGATGATTCCTCGGTTCCACGCTGTTATCACTCTTCACTGGCACACGTACTCAGCTGTGACCTACCGCAAGACAGAAAAACGCCAGTCTTGTATAAATAAGGCAATGACCAATTTCGAACAGTCAGACTGTAACCTATCCAGACGCTTCATAAAGCCTGGTATCTCTGCTCGCTCTCTGGAGCGGCTTGACCGCCGAAGAGATATCCCGGCGGAATCAGATTGCAACGAGCGGCGCTCTTCTGCCAATCAGCTGCTCAAGCAAAACCTACACACTCATTGTGAGACAAGGTGGTTTGGGTGTGCTTTAGAGATGGAGACCGCTGCCCTCTCTGGCAGCACATCCGAGCTTTTCCAACTTATTCAGTCCATTGGCCTCAAGAAGCTTGGTATCAGTGAGGCTAGTTGCCAGGTAACTAGGTCACTAATCACCAAGCAACAGAGGCGCTTGGAGCTCTGGGTCGAACACTGTCACTCGCAATTCAACTGGTCTTCACCATCCATCAGTGCATGCAGTACACCTGTTGTCTACCCTGGATCGTCCTAGTTAATCCACCCAGCGAAGCGGGTCTACCTCGAGTTTCGACGCTTGAAGCGGTTCAAGGCGGCCGACTCAGACGGACTTCCGCCGGAGTTGTTCAGGTACGGCGTCGTGGCAATCATTAACCATCTGACCTAGTTATTCGAAAAATTTGGCATGAAGGAAAAGTGCCTTCCTCATGTGTAAATGATCGCGGGATTAGTCTTATTTTAGTTGACTCTAAGCTATTGGCATCCATTCTGCTTCATAGACTATCCCCCACTACGTGAATCCTACTACAGTGAAGAATAGATTGTTTCCTTTCCGATCGTGGATGCGTGGATGAAATCTTCACGCTGGGCCAACTCCTCGAACATCTGCACATTTAGCACAGGCCCACTACAGTAGCATTTCCAGACATACCTGCTGCATTTGACTCGGTTGATCGACCTGCTTACTGGCAGTACTTGATAAAGAACGAAGTGCCCAAGAAGTATACCGCCATTTTAAGTACATTTCTGGTAGAGTGAAGCTACTTTTGCCATCCGCTGTCAATAGCGGTGCGCGACACAGCAATCCAAGACGTTCTGTCCAGTGCTCTAGTAAGTTTCTAAAATTTTGGCCTAGAGATTCTGCCGAGTATGTTCGTGACCGACTATTTAAAATTAAAAAGTAAATGGTATATTCCTCGGCGGTGCGAGACACAGTCCAACTATGTGGTTTGATCCATGTAATATGTGGTCTGATCAATGTAATGCTGATGATAACGCCTTCCATGTTGACGATCCTCCGGGTGTACAACTCATTCTGGATCGTTTGGCGGTTGGAGCGTCTAAGTATGACATGAGCTTCTCCCTATAGAAGTGTAAAGTGATGTTCCAGGATTGACCTACATCTGCTCACGTGCACACTTTTGAAGGTGCACAACTTAAACAAGTAGATAGTTTCGTCTACGTTGGGAGCTGTGCTTCTGCTCACGGCACTATCAGCATGGAAGTTTCTTTTCGTATCGCTAAAATCTGATCAGCATTTGCCAATCTGAGGCACTTGTGACATAGTCGCAACGTCTTATTCTCGATAAAGGGCCGTGTATACGGCGCACCTATTCGTTTAGTATTGTTGTATGCAAGCTAGTACTGGCCAATTCGCGTGGAAGATGTGCCTCGTCTTTCTACCTTAGACAACAGTTGTTTGAGGAAGATTGCTCGTGCGTGCCAGCTACATAGAGTTCACATTAATGATTTTCGACATCACGTTTTGAGAAATGTGAATATTCCTTAGAACAACCTGGTTTTGCTGCGTTAGTTGAGATGGCTTAGTCACGTCCTACGCATGACGGCTGAAAGTTTACCGCACCGTGCTCTATTCACTTTTTCAGGATCTGGATGTAAGTGACCGCGTGGTGCTCAGCCTTCCGCTTGGTGATAGCCGATGAAATCACTAAGGTTGCGTCTAGCCGCCGTTGGATTTAAACCTCTTCCAGGATGGGGGCTCAAGGATGTGCAAAGCCAATGGCTTAACACGATTAAAGACATAGCCCGCAGCGGGAATCAGTAGAAAAATTGATTACAGAACTGTATTGGTTCACATGTTTAATGCATCGAACATTGAAAATAACAAAAAGAAAATGTCGACGTGTGAAAACTAAACAATGGTACTTTCTATGTTGGTCAAATTGTACTTTCCTTTGATTCCCGTAGTTTTGTATGGTTCCATGTCCATTTGTTGGACTGCTCATATATATATATATATATATATATATATATATACTTCAAAAGAGCCTTGACAGCTATTTGCCAAACCTCCAACAAGAGGCCACATGTAGTGCAGCCTGATATTTTTCCAGGCACTTGTACAGATTACTCTCGTTCTTGATTCGTATTTTTGCAGAAGAATGGAGTGTCGATCAAACTTCCTGATGGCGGGGACTGAGGTTCTTTTTATGATACCAAAAGCAGGACGCTCGTTAAGGTAAATCTTTTATTGACGTTGGATCTTAACTTGACCTGACCAGTATTCCTGTCTTCAGGAGACCACCAGATCTCGCGGACAAACCAACTGGAGGATACCAACTGAAAGTAAAGAAAGTAATGTCTAAAGTACGCCCTACTCTAAATGCCATTGGAATACCAATGTCTGAAGCTAGCTAACCTGATGGCAGCTTATGCACTGCAATACATGGATTTTGTGGCTATTGGTCCCGCAAGATCCGTCTTCGAGATTCAGTAGCCACAAAGAAGCCGATCCAATTTGTTTCTGGCCCGCTGACGTCATTCCGTCAGTGTAAGTTCTTACCTGTTCGGTACACAGTGATGAAAATGCTGTTAGGTTTAATGTCTTCACATGACGGCGATTCCACTTGGATTGGTGCAGTTGTAGAGAAAATGGCCGCTAAGCCGCCTACATGAATTTTGGTGGCAAAATAAATTGTCCACTATAGCAAGGCTTCATCTGCTAAAGAGATAGCAAGAAGGATGTAAACACCACGTTTAAGCAGTGGGTTGCATGCGTAGTGAGACTTCCCAAAACATGCTCCCCTTTCGAGTACAACGTGTGTGCTTCCCATCTGCCCATCCCTGATTTTTCGAGCGATATACTCTACTATATGGTTGTACCGCAGCTAGCCCATAAACGACGTTTTAACCGCCTTTGGCCTATCTACTGATGCATCCGTCCGAAAGCGTATATAGGTCTCTGTCTCGCCGCTCGGCTGTTGTGTTTGATTCACCCGTGTTGCATTTCATTCTGAAAGTTTACACTGTCTCGGCTGGCTTGCCGAACAACCTCCTCGTGGTGCCAGCTGGGTCGTTCGGGATTTTCCCGTTCCAGCAAATGGTTCGGCGGCAGTTTTCCAGGACGTGATGGGTTTTCGCCTGGCAAGCGTTCTCCCTATAAAAAAGCCACATATGTCCGTTTAACAACACTGTGACGTGGCGGATGTGACTCGCCACTAAAGAAAGTCACTGCCCTTTGCTTCATCCTGGCGAAGCATTGTATTCCAGCAAATTTATGCTGTAATTTTGGGGAGCATTGGGCCCCTGTTTGATAAAGGAACAAACGAAAGGCGTACGAACTGAGCAATCAGTCACCGGCTCCCAATGGGCGCGATTCCCTGAATTCGCTCCACTGCCTTGCGGGCAGACCATTCAGCCAAAGGCTCGGGGTGGTGTCCCCTAAGTCAACACCCTACTTCGGCTTGGGCAACCGGGTAGTATCTCGCCCTCTGACGAAACCATGGACTTTGATGTGTTGTGTTTTGTTTTAGTTTACTATTTCTGTACCTTATTTTGAGTTCCATGATTTCCGATGGCTCAATGTCTATTCATAGACTGTTGCAAATATATACTCTCATTTCCAAACACACTGGATTTACTTCCATTCTAACTCGGACCACCGAGAACGACAAAAACTACTGGCATCGAGCGTTCAACCACGTGACCCTGAATCCGCATTTCAAACACCGATCAGCTGGGCGGTCGGATATGTGTGGTAAAACACAATGTTGTGCACATTACCCAGTGAAGATAAGCCCTGCATGTCGTCGGAAGCTAGCACCAGCCCAGCCGGACGAACGACTAGTTTCGTCTACGGAGTGATCACTGGATTGTGCATCGCTATTTTGATACTGATTGGGCTAGTTCTGTTCTCCGAGTTATTGAAAGGAACCAAGCCGGACCCACCCAAGAAGGTCGATACCAAACTTCCAGTCGACCGTAAGTCAGTTCTACCTTAAAGAAAGTATTCTTTGTTATAAAGGTGTGGCCAGCACTTGAGGCTTTTCTTGAAATACTGCCGAGATAATTGTTTAACCAGCTGGTGCACGTAATGCCTACTATGTTCGCCGGGTCGAAAGCTGATAACATGTTAATCCATTGAATGATCGGAGTACCGAAATGCAGCATAACATTAATTTGTTAAGAATGAAAATTCGAACAGCAACAAATAGATGTTGCACGATTAATCGTGAATTAAGCTTGCAAATGAGTGGGGCGTGATTCCAGAGTTTTTGTTATCTCAACTTTCTCTCGTAAGCAAATCTTTGACGCTCGCTTAGCAGTTGAGTTGTGAGAAAGACTTGGAGCAATTGCTTATAACAGCATAAAACCACATACTTGACAAATCCCGTGGGATGGTTAGGGTCAAGATTAAAAGACAACAAGAGTATGGATAAAAGTAAGCACCTGATATGTGTGACTCATCAAGAGTTTTACCGTAACCCAGGTGCGAGTATTACTACCTTGATGTTGAGAGGAGTATGACACTGTCCACTGTTTGTTCTGCTCTAATGACATTATAGGCTTTGGCTATTTCATGTAGTGCAAATATGTCAGTATCGTGAAAACATCTTTTTGCATAGGATAAAGTGAGGGAGTTAATTATGCGCGCTGAGAGGGAATTCCAGACATGTGACACGCGGAGATGGAAAACGTTTCGTTTACTGTCTATTCGGCTGTACTGCGTGATCCGCTTAAACTGATGACCCTCCCAGATCTGTTTTGGTTGTTTCAAATGCTAGTGACAAATATGCTTGAGGTTTTTAGGATCTGATACACATTATGTGATCTGTTCAGGTTTTGCTCTGTTCTCTGATCTGAACAAATTCGTTGCACATATTTCATCTCCAGACGACGTGACTTCGTCAGTGCTTACTACGCATCGACCAATTCACCTCGAGTAAAGATGAAACGTCTCAAGGAAATTGATAAGATCGGAAAACGTACCAAAATCTGAACTGGCAATCTTAACTACAGGTGTTTGGATATATTGCAAATTATGTGATATCCGGCAGATACCGGTAACATCCGCTGTACATTTTTGGAGTTCTCAGACTGAGTGGGTAGACAGGGTGGGTCCAACCTTTGACATTCTTCATCGCCTTGCGCTATGCAGTATCGAGCGAGGTGAGATTGTGCTTCCGCCAGGGTTGCAACTCTTAAAGAGCGCATTCTGGGTGCATTTTCACTTACGCGTCAAAGATTTTCGGAAAGTCTGAGGCGTCGAACTTCCCGAACGCTCTACGAAGGAGGACGAAGTACTAATTTACTTTCTTTGATGCATTTTCATCCCGCCTCAAACAATCTGGACCATTTTGCTCGAACACACGGAGATCGCACTAATGAAATGCCCGCTGTAGAATTTGTGGATCTAGCCGGGGGTTGTGAGTTCCCTGATGGTGGACGCTCAGGATTTTGTAGTTGGTGGGGTTAACTGGAGAATTAGCTCAATGAGCCGCGTGTATGCTTTATCCAGATCATTCTGTAGGGCTATGTGATCCTCCAATGTATTGAGAGCGCACCACGTCTTTAGATCATCCGCAAATAGTTATAAGTCTAAAGAGGGCACGCTCACGAGATCATTTATGAACCGCAGGAACAGACAGGGTCCGAGTATAGAGGTAGGCCAGACTAGACTTCGATTGGTTCGGCTACGGTGCTGCAAACCCTTGCACTCAGGTGACGCTGAACGAGAAAGTCGCCTATGCAACCCAGAATGGGATCGCCGACTCCCCAATTCTGAAAATTGTGAAGTACTCCAGACGGTGGAGTATCTTCGGTAAATCCAGGTAGGAGGTATCCAGTGTACACAAGAATCCACAGATTCCTTTCAGAATGTACGAGCTATCAGTAAATTGAGGATACATGATTGATTCTGTCGAAATCCATGGTGCTTCTGTGTGATTATTTTATATATCTCCAGGTACCCCATGAGTACCTCATCAACAATGGACTGCATGATCTTGGAGTTCAGCAAACGCGGTGATATCGGGCGATAATTCTCTGCTTCTGCACGGCTAAAGCTTTTCTGATTCTGAACAATCATCCTGTGCTTCAACGTTGTATTGCGGCAACTTAGCTATCTATCTCATCTAGCAAACCTGCCTAATGATTAATGATGGGGACCTGAAGCTCCTTATGATAGCGTTGAAAGAATATTGCTGACAGTTCAGCTAAATTTGTGGCAGACACTTTCAACGCCTTTGGGCGAATGCCGTCTGCACCAGATGGGCTGCATTCGGGCAAGGATATCAGCCTGTGGTCCTTGGGGAGCCACTGAAGCGTATGCAAACTGTCGCACACACAGATGCATGATCTATTCCCCCACAAACCTGAATGAACTATTGCAAGTCGGAAGATCCAGCAATACAAACAGAGTATCAACAGAGGCTACGTGAAAACCTAGAGGAGGGATGGCCAAGTGATGACTTGGTCCAGAGGAATGAAGACCCTCACTTCTGAGCTGGCCTCGGTTGGAGCGTCTCGGCTCCCTGGTTGGGTCCGAAAGACGATGAACACGTTTTGTTGAACCCACTTGCTGACATGGCAAGGAGCCGACCTCAGTGGCGTTCGTGCTGTGAGTTTCTTTGTCCCACCCCATCCCTCTTAGCCTCTCCCTCCAACCACGATCTCATTATTTAGCCTTATATAATTTTGCATAGTAATTTTTTTGATGCATAGTAGCCGGCTGGTAGCTTACCGGAACGATGCCAATCCGTTACCGGTAGCTCAGCTGGCTTACACCAGTTGCATTCTTTTTTTCTCCTTTTTTCTATGTATTGCGGCACAGTAGCTGAGGTGTTCCCCACCTTTAGCTAACGTGTATGATGATGATGATGATGACGTGAAAACCCTGCCCCCAGTACTTCTCTGGATGGTGACCAGTACTGGTTGGGCTTGCAAAAGGCCATGCTGTCTGCAGCTTTGTCCAGCTGTGGCCTCGTCTGCTGCATAGCTAAAATCTGGATCTCGTCAACTTCCTTGGAACTACTAGGTCGTCGATGCGCAGCGCCCGCTAACACGGAACACAACGAAATCCGTCGGTCTATTTCTCAACAACTGAAAGCAAGCCTTTGCTCTGGCCGTGCATCTTGGTATTCTAGGCGTGCTACTGTAACGGAGGCCGCTGCATTGGTTGAAAACTTTCGCAGTTTGTTGCGCCTCATCAAGACAACCGGTTGCAATTCCCATGCTAGCAGTCAGTTAATCTAGGAGTCCGACGTTTCAAAAATCACCAACCTGCAGAAGCGATTGGAGCGCTGGGCAGAGTACTTTGCTCTTTAATTTAGCTACCCAGCACATCCCTCTGTGACATCTATCTCCGTCGGATGATGTTTGGCCTGTCCCCACTAACCCTCCTACCGAAGTAGAGAGCCGAAGCGTAATCCAATCTTTGTAACGGCATAAAGCCCGCGACCCTGACAGCCTTCCTTCGGCTTTATTCAACGATGGCGAAGAGGTAGTTGTCAACGAATGGCTGTCGCTTTTCACAAAGTTTGGACTGATGAGAAAGTCCCAAATCATGGGGTGACTCAATCGGCGTTCGGCTTCACAAGAAAGGCTCCTGCGAAGACTGCTCTACTTACCGCGGAATCTCGCCGATCACAGTTGTTTCCAAGATTATTATGTCCATCTTACACCGCAGAATTTCGTTCACCAGAGATGGATTTTCCTGAGGAGAACAAACCGGTTTTCGTCCGACTTTGCCTTGATCAAATCTTCACACTCCGACAAATTCTCGAGCTCCGCCACATTCACCGTCGACCAACAATTGCAATCTTCCTGGACATCTGCCCGGCATTCGATTCACTAGACCAAGCGACTTTGTGAAATTATCCAGTAAGGAAGGGTGTGCCCGACAAGTTTGTCGCCGATGGAACTGTACGGTCACATGTAGGGCTTACGGTAGTTTTCTCTTCGTTTGTTGTCACCAGTTAAGTTCACCAAGATTGACTTATATCCCCTTTCCTCGACAATTTTGCCATCGAAGATTTCGTGCAACGAGCGATATACTATGTCCCGAACTGCGATGTTGAGCTCTTCCCTTGCGCCAGAATCGCAGAATTGGACTACGCCAATGATATGCTTCGCAGGGTGACGATCTGCAAACCGTCCAAAACACCTTGAACCAAGTAACGATTTGTGACATCCAAATATGGTTTGCAGTTCAGCCAAGGTAAATGTAGTTATTTCAGGATTATCAGAGGCCTGCGCCCGCTCTCACCATTGCTGGTGACATGTTGAAACAAATGGATTGTTTCATCTAGCTAAGGAGTTGCATTACGGCGGGTGGCGGGGTTGCAGAGAGGTTCCACAGCGCACTGCAAAAGCCCACCTTACTTTCATCAAATTGAACCACCTATGGCGTCATCGTAACATCAATCTCAAGCTCAAAGGGTAGTTTGCCTTTGATTTAGGTACGTTAGAGCATATTATCTTTATCGAGTTCCACGTCCTCCTAATTTTAGGCAAGCATGTGCTTCTTCTATCTGGCGGCTTGTTGGGTGGCCTACTCGGAAGCTCACTGGTATTCGCATCATATCCAACATGTGTTGGAATAGTTGCAGATGTGCCCACTAACTTCGCCTTGGGGCTTCATGCAGCTACGACAGATGTGTATTTTGTCAGGCTTTTGGTAGTGTTAGATAAGCCTGAATGCAATGGAGTATCAGGTGACACAGATATCCCTGCGGGAAAAACCAATGAGACTGGACCTTCCCGTGGTGCGATGGTTTGTGTGCCTCAGCGATCCATTGACCTATGCTGGGTGGTGCTTTTGCACCTTCAGAGTCACTCATACCAGATTGGTCAATGGTTAGAGGCCAGACAAACTCAGCCTCGTGGTCCTCCTTAAAACGGACTCCTTGTAGCCCAACGCCAAACCCGCTATCTTGAGGTAAGGTTTCTGAACCAAAGGCTTTGGTTGAGAACCCTAATCGTTCTCCTGTCTAGGCCTGGGCAACCTGACAGTATCCTGCCAACGCAATACAATGAATTCAATTCAAACTAATTTCTGATGCTCTGGCCACCACAGAGGATAATCAACGGTGTCCTATCTGCTGCATCGAGCAGGGTGGATAGGGGTTTGGATGTTACTGCTAAAACCTCCCCGTCCTCTTATTCCCCCTCTTACGAGTTTTCACTCTTACAGTCCCGTTCCAACTTCACTTCTACCCCCAGTTTTCAACTCCCCGATTCTTAGCCCTCTCCCATCGTGCTTTGCTAGGCATTTACCTTCTAATTGCAACTCACA